TCGGTGGGGAGGGATCAGCTTGAGCCACGTGAGGGCCACGGCCAGGCCTCGCCCTGGTGGCCCGGCCACCCTCCCGCCATCTGGGCTGCATCCACATAGAAGGTTCCGTGGCATTCCATGGGAGAAGTGGGGAACCGTCCTCTCCACAGGCCTGGGCAGAGCCGGGAGAGAGCTGGTGGCCAGCAATGCCAGCAATGCCGAGGACCTGCGTTCTTGGACGCCAAGCCCGTCTGGGGCCGCTGGGGGCGTGGACAGATAAGGAGATAACCCCAGGCGGGAATAGACAGGGAGGGAAGAGTGAAGCAGGGGAAAGGGCAGCAGCTTCACCGGTGGGACTGATACTGCCGTCCCTGGACCCTGTGACCCTGGGCAAGCTGCTGCTGCTGGCCAGGCCTCAGTGTCCCCGTCCAAAGGGGGAGCAACTGTCTCTGTTCTGTGTCCTTCATGGTGAGAGGGAAGGAAGCAGGCGACCCCAACGTGGCTGTGACTGCTGGGCCTGGCACGCAGGGCCTCGGGGAGGGTCAGGATAGCACCTGGGCGGTGACCGGCCCTGTGGTGGGGGAGGGAGGTGGTGCCCCCTCCTTGGCTGAGAGGACTGGCAGGGGGAGGCTCCTACAAATTCAGACAGGGAGCTCCTGCCACCATCCTGAGCATTCAGGCCTGGTCTGGCCCCAGAGTCCTGTTGAGACCTCAGGGCTCCATCCACGTTGCCCCCCGACATTCAGAAGGAGCTGAGACAGGGAGGCACCAAGGGTGGAGGGCAGCACAGTCGTCACTGTGGGGTTCACTCTTGGGGTCGGCTTGGTCAGTTCACGTGGGAGCAGACACCCCCAATCACCTACTAGACCAGCACTCCTCACACTCTAGGAGCACACAGGGCACACCCGCCTGCCAGCTGACCCTGCGCATGACCCCTGGCAGGGGGTCCAGGGGCCACAGCCACCCAGGAACACCTGGACATCTTGTCCACGTGCAGATCGTGGTCTGGGAGGCCTGGGCAGGGCTCTGTCTCTGTGACGGGCTCCTGGGCCAGCAGCCCCCTGACCGCACCGTGCCTGGAGCTGTGGGGGCCGCTGCTCCCAGCAGGGCCTGGGAGTCGCTCGACCTGTCTGAGGCTCATCTGTAAAATGGGACCAACGCTGCTCAGGACCCACTTGACCGGCCTCGGCAGACACGAAGCCAGACGAAGGGTGTAGATCACTCGGCTCCTGTCATCATCATCATCGCCATGGCATGGCCCATCTCTGTCTCCTTGTCCACGCCCACCTTCTGTCCCAGGGCAATCTTGCCTCTGGAATGGGCCTCTTGAGCTAAGGAAGACAATGAAAAACTCTCCTAAGCTGGTCCTAAGGCTCCCTCCCTCCACCCACTGCCCGAGGGAGGACTCCCACCCAATCCCAGGTGGGGACCAGGCAGGAGAAGGCAGTGGGGTCACTTGGAGCCCAGTTACTGCGTCTGTTAAAAGGGGTCAACCCCCATCCCAGGCCCAGGACCTTGGAGATCACGCCCCCGCCCCCACACCCAGGCCAGTGGAGCTGGCCGGGCAGCCCTGGGTGGCCTGGGCAGGTGAGGGTCCTTCTGCCTGCCCCTGACATTGTGCTCAGGGTTGGTGGAGCCCCTGAGGGGCACGTGCCCTGCACAGGGGCCAGAGTCCTGGAGACAGGTGTGCAGGGTGGTGGGTCTCCCAGACCCTGAGCCGTGGAGCCTGGTCATTGCTATGTCGACTGGCCTCATCGTCCTTGCCCTGGCTTAGGGCCCTGCGCACCTCCCCTTCTTTCTGCCGGCTGGAGTCGCTTTCTTCTGGGGTAACCATGGCAACGCCTTTGTTTCTGAGCCCGCCCGCCTCCCTCCCTGCTCTCTCTTCGGGAGAGGCGTAGAGGCTCCTTCCCAGTCCCCGCACGTCCCCAGCCGCTGGCAGACAGTGGGCCGCCCCTAGGATGGGGGGCGCCGTGTTCCGGGCCCTGCGCACAGGCCCCACGCGTCCACTCACTCACACCCCGATGTTCACAGAGGGCCCCAGCCTCTGCCACGGGGCCACAGAGGCCGCGGAGGCCTGTCCCCGCCCCAGGGTCCTGCTAAGGGCCACCTGGAAGGGGCAGACACGGTCCGAGGAGGGAGCACAGAGGCCCGACTGGCGCTGGCACCGTGGGGCCTTCAGAACCCGCTGCGGGATCGCGGGGTGGGCGCTCTCGCAGCGCGGGGTCCTGCGCCCGCTCGGCTCCGCTTAAAGCCGGCTCGGGCAGGAGAGAACCTGGCAGCTCGTGTAACTGAAAGGCCAGGGCAGCGCCTGCTCACGCCCGCCTGCAGCGGCCCGGGCCTGTGCTCTTGCCTCCCCTGGCTGGCCTCACGCGGCACACCGCCGGGCCTCTGGCCTGCAGCCTCGGATTGCAACCCTGTGTCGCCGGCCGGGTTCCGGAGGGGTCCGCGGGCAGAGGGGCGAGTCTTTCGACCTCGGCGTCCCCTCTGGTCCCGACACGCTGACCCCACAGCGGGGGTCCCGGGGCAGAGTCTGCCTGGCCAGCCCGGGGTCACCGGCTGCCCCTGACCCAGCTGCTGTCACTGTGAGCGGCGGCCGGGCTCACGGCACCGCGCTGCCCTCAAACCAGCCCCGGGCGCAGGTGGGCGCCGGCAGAGGAGCCCGGTGTGCGAAGGGAACGCGGGGCTGCAGGCTCAGAGAGGTGCGTACGTCGCCCAGGGCCGCACAGCAGAGGGGCCCGACGTCCGCACGGGGGTAAGGCGGTGGGTGACAGCGGCGACTGCATGGCACGGTGGGGGGCAGCCACCCGCCGCGTCCCCGCACGTGCGGGAAGACCGCAGGGTGTGGCAGCCCGGGCGGGCCTCGGGGCAGCACCGCGCCGCACCGCGCCCCTCGCCGTTTGCAAACCCGCCGGCGCCGCAGCCACGCCCCCTGCCTCGCTCGCGCGGTCAGGATCTGCATAGCCCCGCCCCCTGCCGCGATGGGCTGGCCGCGCCGTCACTCCTCCGCGCGGGCGGGGCTCCGGGGGCGGAGGGCGGGGCCGCGGCGGCGACGCGATTAGCATAGTCCCGCCCCCGGCGCGGCCCTCGGGCCGGGTGCTGATTGGGCGGCCGGCGGTGACGCGGCGGCGCCGGGCGCAGCGAGTGGCGGGCGCGGGCTGTCAGTCGGCGGGGCGGCGGGCCGCACTTCCGCCTCGGTGTCAGTGGGTCGCGGGCCTGCCGGGCGGGGGCGGGGTGGGCGGCGAGCGCGGCGGGCGTCCGAGGCCCGCGTCAGGTGAGTGGCCCGCGGCCCGCCGCGAAGGCGCGACCCCGGCGGGCAGCGGGTTTTGGCGGGCGGCGGCGGGCCCGGACCCGCAGGCGCCGGCCCTTCCGGCCCGGCCCAGGCCGCAGCCCGGCGCCGCGAGGAAACTTCGGGAGCCAAGTTGGGGCCCGGCGGGCCTCGGGCCGGGTCGGGCGCTGCCCCGGTGGCGGGCGCGGCGCCCGCTCCGCTCGGCCCTGCGCTGCGCCCGTGCGGGCCGGGTCCGTCCGACGGCGGGCGGGGCCTGGCGGGCGCGGCGGAAGCAGGTGCGGCCGGGAGCACCGGCCCTCGCGACCTGCCGCGCCGGGCGCTGCCCGCGCGTCCCCGGCCGGTCCCCCGCCCTGCGCCCTGGTGGTGCCCTCCCTGCGTCGGTCTCCGCGGGCGGGACCTGCCGGTGAGAACTTTTGCCTGGCGCCCCCGGGCGAGCTGGCCCCGGAGGTGCCTGCTTCCTCCACGGCCGCCTCTCGGTGCTGGGCGTGTCGCAGACTTGGCGCAGGGAGACTGAGGCTGTCCCCGGGTCGCTGCCGCTGGCGTGCGTGGGGACCGCGGGCTGGCGGTGTCCCGCTGGCACGGGCCGAGTCCGGGCGTCCCCTCCCGGCAAGCTGGCTCACGTCTTCGCGGTCCCGTTCCAGCGGTCCTTGTGGAACAGGGCCTCCCGGAGTGCTAGGATGGTGGGCGCAGCCACGGTGCCTGGCCCAGAGTTCACACTCTCAAATGCCACCCTGTACTGCCTTTTCTTTCTTTCTTTCTTTTTTTTGACAGGGTTCTGGTCTGTCACCCAGGCTAGAGCGTATGGGATGTAGTGGTGTGATCGCCGCTACTCCACTGGTGGCCCTGGCCTGGGACCAGCAGCCTTTGGACGACCCCCTTTTCGGGGACTGCCTTTGCACGTCCTGAGAAGTGGTCTCCTTCGGGTTGGTGCCACGGACGTTTCTTGAATGCCTGCCGCGTGCCTGGCTGCATGCTGCACAGCCCCTCAGCCCGGCGGGGAAGTTGAGGCGCAGCTGAGAGCAGAGGTGCCCAGGCTGGCACAGTCCCGAATGGCAGGGGACCCGGGCGTTCTTGCGTTCCGTGGTGTCCTTCCTAGCGTTGTGCCAGGGCCGCTTTCCCTCTCTCTCAGACTCAGTTCCTTGGTCCTGACGTGTAGCGTTTACTTTGCTGATGCGAGGAACAGGTGAAGTCGTTACCTACAACACTCCCCGAGGCGGAGCGTGTGCTGGGGAATGCTAGTTCCCTTTCCCCGGGGTTGAGGACAGGAACCACCTCGGGGGCAGCACTTCCTCCTGTCCGCCTGGCACAGTGCCTGGGGTGGTGTTGTCATTTAAAGCGTGGCGATGAGTGAATGGGCGACTGAATCTCCGGAGTAGAATGTACCTTTCCTGTCCACCTGCTGGTAGCAGTTCTCACCTGAAGAGATGATACTTAACAATGACTGTCCCAGCACTGTTTCCAGCACGTTATAGTCTCTTCATTCAGGTAATGCTCTCAAGAGTCTGCGGGACGACAGGTGTTCACTCATGAGGAGGCTGAGGAATAGAGAGGTTAAGTAACTTACCCTAAATCACACAGCAGTAAATTATAATATGAACCAGAGATTTGAACCCAGGCAGTCTAGCTCCGGAGCTCACACTTTTTTTTTTTTTTTTGAGACAGAGTCTCGCTCTCTTGCCCCGGGTTGAATGTAGTGGCGTCATCACAGCTCACTGCAACCTCCAACTCCTGACTCAAGCATCCTGCCTCAGCCTCCCAGGTAGCTGGGACTACAGGGGTAAACACCACACCTGGCTAATTTTTCTATTTTTAGTAGAGATGGGATCTCTTTCTCTTGCTCAGGCTGGTCTCAAACCCCTGAGCTTAAGCAATCCTCCTGCCTCGGCCTCCCAGAGTGCTAGGATAATAGGTGCGAGCCACTGTGGCTGGCCCAGAGTTCACACTCTTAAATACCACCCTGTACTGCCTTTTCTTTTTTTCTTTTCTTTTCTTTTCTTTTTTTTTTTTGACAGGATTTTACTCTGTCACCCAGGATAGAGTGTATGGAATGTAGTGGTATGATCATAGCTCACTGCAGCCTCAAACTCCTGGGCTCAAACAATCCTCTTGGGCAGGGCGAGGTGGCTCACGCCTGTAATCCTAGCTCTCTGGGAGGCCGAGGCGGGCGGATTGCTCGAGGTCAGAAGTTCGAAACCAGCCTGAGCAAGAGCGAGACCCCGTCTCTACTATAAATAGAAAGAAACTAATTGGCCAACTAATATATATAGAAAAAATTAGCCGGGCATGGTGGCACATGCCTGTAGTCCCAGCTACTTGGGAGGCTGAGGCAGCAGGATTGCTTGAGCCCAGGTGTTTGAGGTTGCTGTGAGCTAGGCTGACGCCATGGCACTCACTCTAGCCTAGGCAACAAAGCGAGACTCTGTCTCAAAAAACAAAAAAAAACAATGCTCTTGTCTTAGCCTCACCAGTAGCTGGGACTACAGGTGCACACGCACCACTGCGCTTGGCTAATTTAAAAAAAAATTTTTTTTGTAGACATGGGGATCTCTCTGTGTTGCCCAGGCTAGTCTTGAACTCCTGGCTTCAGGTGATTCCTCCTGCCTCAGCCTCCCAAAGTTTTGGGCTTATAGGCATGAGCCACCACGCCTGGCCTATACTGCCTTTTAATACCAGGATTTTTCCTTTAACATTTTTGTTTATAACATTCTTCTAATCATGCTATGTGTCAGAACTCTGTTTCTTGTAGCATATATAACTAACAGATTTTCATTTTTTTGTGGGCCTGAGTGTTTATAAAATCATTTGTTTCTTCTAAAATAATTCTCCATCTGGCTCTCCAGGGTTTTGCTGAAGTACCCCACCTGCTGCCTCCTTCCTTTGTCACTAGCAGTCACTGGTGCTCACCACGTGGAAGGGGTGAATTGGGGGCCGGGGCGCCGACTGATGCGTGCAGTTCAAAGTATGAGGTTTTCGTTTTGAGTTCAGTTCTGAGTGGACTTCATGCAGTGAGTCTTAGAGTATACACTGAGGACATTTTTCTTCTCTCCTCCCAAGTGCATTTAGAAGGGTCAGACTCTGTTGTGCCTCACATCTTGAAGAGCTCTTTTAATGTTAAAAAGCGCCTTGGGGCTTTCATCCTAGCATCTGCCCTCCGTGCCCTCCACCAGGAAATGGCCGCTGAGTCTTGGGTGTGACCTTAAAACCTGCCTGACTTGGGAAGTTTTATTACGTTCAGTTAATTATAAAAGTGACATTTCTTTTTTTGATGAGGAGATTTTTAATACATTTCATGGACTCCCAGGCTGTCTTGTAACAGGGAATTACTCTCTCCTGAAAGTGATCTCTTGAGCGTCCCTGGGGAAGCCCCACCTCGTCTGGCTGCAGCGGAGTAAGGTCTCTTTTATTTATTTATTTTTTTTATTTTGGCATATCATGGGGGTACAGATTTTAAGGTTTCAATAAATGCCCTTTCCCCCCTCCCCCCACAATTCTGAGTCTCCAGCATGACCATCCCCCAGACGGTGCACATCTCACTCATTATGTATGTATATACCCACCCCCCTCCCCCCTGCCCAATACCCTATTACTGTAGTACCTATGTGTCCACTTAGGTGCTGCTCAGTTAATACCAGTTTGCTGGTGAGTACATGTGGTGCTTGTTTTTCCATTCTTGGGAAACCTCACTTAGTAGTATGGGTTCCAGCTCTAACCAGGAAAATATGAGATGTGCTATATGATCGTTGTTTCTTAGAGCTGAATAGTACTCCATGGTGTACATATACCACATTTTATTAATCCATTCTTGCATTGATGGGCACGTGGGCTGTTTCCACAGCCTCGCAATTATGAATTGTGCTGCTATAAACATTCGAGTGCAGGTGTCTTTTTTGTAGAGTGCCACGAGTAAGGTCTCTTAATGGCAGCAGTGCTGACCAGCCCTCAGGGGGCTGGCATGTGTCTGTCGTGAGTGTAAGCGTGTTTCTGAAGGTGGCGTGGGGGGAGTGGGGCTCCCTGGGGCCCCCAGGTCCTGACTGTCGCTCTGCAGCTGTTGGACAGAGGCAAGTCGCTGTTCACCGTTACGGCGGGCCACTGTGAGGCCTGTATGTGAGAGTGAACGTCAGGTGTCTGGCATGTCGCAGGCGCTCAGAATACCCTTGGTGGCCCCACCTGAGAGTGCTGAGACTGACGTCACCCCAACGATGACACCACACACACAAATGCAGTTTAGAAAGAAAGCCGAGGAAGTCTTTGCTAGGCAGATTTGTGTTCTTTTCGACATGTGTTACCATTGAATGACCATTCAAATGAGGGTCATGCTCATAGAAGAGCTCTGGGCAGGTGGGGACGTGGCTGCTCTAACTCAGGTGGGGCCTCTGTGGGCGGCTTTCAGGGTGGAGTTGTCCCTTCCCGGTCATTATCGCACTTCCTGGTGGGTGTGGACATTTGATTAGTATTGAGTACTCATGGTCAGGTGTGAGGTTTACTTCCAAAACTTAGTGCACTGTAGAATTGATCCGTAAAGGCTAAGAGGAAGCCAGTGTTTGCACATGACTCATGATTAAAAAATACCTAAACCCTAAGAGTTAATATTTTAATTCTAGTTTGACACTGTAAGTGCAGTTTCTGTGTGTACTGATGTGTGTCCCTGATATATTTTTACCTTTTCAGTTCTTGCTGATGAATGTCAGGTTTTGGTGCTGCAGCCTCAGGAGACCGTGGGTCTGGGTTTGAGTGCCGACATGGGCGCGTCGCGTGGTGCAGCGCGCTGGCCCGTCCCGCAGCTCTGGATGATAAATGTGTTAAACGGCTCTCGGAGACGTTTCCATGAACTTTTTGGCACTTCTTTCCTTTTCCTTCCAGATTCAGAAGAGAACGTGGGGTCATTCGGCAGGATTTGGCAGCGTGTGTGTTCTTTCCACCCGAGCTTCTGCTCACACGAGCACCACACCCGCGTGCCGTACTCGGGAAGGGAGTGAGCCTTTAGAAAGGACCGGCCTGAGAACGGGGGCGTGTGGACGCCCGACGTGTGTCTGTTTCTCGGTGCTTCCTCCTCTGCCTTCCAGGGCACTTGCTGGCTTTACTTAGAGAAGCAAACTCTGGGATCGGTGCTGACGCGCTAGTGGCTGGCGCCACAGCGGGGAGGCCTGGCCTGGTCTCCTGGCCTCAGCTGTGCCCTCTCACCCAAGCGCCCAGGGGGCTCTGTCCCTGAAGCTGAGGGGCGTCAGTGTGGGAAGGGTCCGAGGGGCTCTTGGCTGGGCAGGCCCCGAGCGCATCGCTTTGCCAGAGGAGCCAGGACCCCGGCTTCAGAGGCGCCGGAGAGCACGTGTCCTGGGCTGGCTGGGGAGTCCTTGGGGAGCGCGGCCTAGAGGACAGCGGTCTGGGGACGTTGTCCTGGTTCTGGAGAGGTGGCAGCGGGCGGGAGGGAGGCTGTCATATGCGAAGTGAGTGGCTGAATAAACAGAGGGGTCAGGGCTGAGAAAGGGTCAGCTGGAACCTGGCCCCTGGCATTGCTGTGCTTGGCCAGAAAGTGACGTCCATACTGCCTCAAAACCAGGGTGGCTGTGTGAGTTGGTGTCCAAACCAGGAAATCGGAGGGTGAAGGGAGCACTGCTCACAATCACAGCGGGAGTCAGGCACGAATCGGGGCTGAAAGAGGACGTGGGCTGGATTGTCTCGGTGCCTGGCGTCTGCATGAGCTCTGGCTTTGTGTTGGCCTCTCCTGCTGCTGTGGAGCAAAGCCAGGCTCGAGATCTGACGGTCACCTGTATTCGGGATGCACGTCAACCGTGGGCGGTGTCACGACACCCGTGTGGGCAGGGCAGGGCAGGCGGCCGAGCTGGGCGCGGAGGGCGAAGTGCCGTTGGGCCCTGCCTCCTGCCACGCTGCCTCTGTGCCGCGGGCTTCGGGCTGCAGGGCTGAGGCTCGTCAGCGCAGGAGGCTTCTGGGCCAGTGTGGGGTTTTCAAAGCTGGCTTCTCACCAGAAAAGCCTGGGAACCTGGTAGAGCGCAGGCCCAGGCCCCGAGTCTCTGCGTCTGAAGCTGCGTGTTGAGCAGGTTCCTGGGCACGTGCTGTGGCCCTCTGCACGCGGCCCCGGGCCTGTGCGGGCTCCCACTGTGCGGTCAGAACCCTTTTTAGGATCAAGGACTCTCTTGAGAACTTAGTGAATAATCTGAATCATCTTTCTGGGGGAAAAAATGAACACAGAACTTTGCAGTTTTTTCCTTTTTATTTCTTTCTCTTTTTTGTGGGGCTGGGGAGGGAGTGTTAGAGATTCATGGATTTCCCTGACCCTGGTTTAAACACCCACCCCCGCTGGTGCTCAAGAAGTGCAGCAGGGAGTGGCGTGGGCAGGCCTGATGCTGGGATGACAGACTTCTCAGCGCCATGAAACCGGTTAGCTGAGCACGGCTTGTGCAAGACGGGACGGAAGGGCCCAGAGCAGAGGTGTGGGGGAGGGAAGTGGAGCCACACTCCTTCCCGGTAGGGTTTCTCCCGGTGGGCTCCCTTCCTCTTGCTGTTTAATTTTCCCTCCTCCTCATGGCTCCATCCTGCGTCCAGCCCGGGAGCCCGCTGTGCTAGCGGGAGTTTCTGACCGTCTGTCACACGTTTGCCGGGCTCTACTCCTCTTGCGGCCGAAGGGTTTGAGCCTGGGGGATGCCAGCAGTGGCAGGCCAGGCAGGGCCGACCGCCTTGGTCCACGGTTGCCCTCAGGGCACTTGGGCTGCCCTTGTGGTGGCTGTCTGAGAGCGGGAGCCTGCA